AATCTCCAGAAGGAGCTCTAATTTAGGTTCAGCAGCTTGGGTTTGAGTGGTGATCTCATTGCTGGGTCTTTTGGGAAATGTGCCCAAAAGTCTCTTGCAGACGAGCTCAAGAAATGTCCGGAATTCAAGAAGAATGTGATGCGAAGCCTCCTACTTATGATAAACAATAGCATCGGACAGGTAAGACATTTTATTATTAATTTTTTACACCTTCATTTCTGTGCCGTCGTAAAATTGTCTAATCTCGTTGGTTTTGAAGGTATGAATTTGCAGTTCGCATTCATGTATGCTCAGAGGGAGAAGACGAATCGGATATACTTTGATGGGTTTCTTATCAGAAACCATGCTATCATAATGCGAACTATTTCGTTTGCCGTTGCATTCTGGAGCGAGGTAAATACTTCTACCGGAGTGCTTCTATAATCCTCTCTTCTCAAATTTGTTCATTCCTTATTTTACGAATCGTTTAAAGGCAGTTGGCACGATGGTTTCCTACTTAGCCTAAAATGCTAGTAGGGCGCTGTATAGTGGGGAAATGGCGAAAGAACGGAGTGAAACGGTCAAAATCCTGCGAAGAAAAAGCCTCCGTTCTCAGTGACTTGTAAATCGATTTCGGACGAGTTTCCCGTAGGCATCTTACCAATCACCGCTACCGAAGATACGGCTGCATATGTGTACCCATATGCATGCAGCATCACGGCCGCTTCATACCAATCCCTTCGCTTCATAATTTGCTTAGCAAATGAATGAATACGAGCGTCAGGAACGGTCGTCCATTTGTGGGCGTTTGGGACGTAAAGTTGTGGCTTAGGGCCCTTATAAGGGCACCTTCCTCGGGGAAACCGCTATGCAGCGCCTGCCCAGGGTCGCGGAATTCTATCCTGCCAGGAGTATTGATCCTAGTCGTCTTGGGGGATTTATCGTGCCAACTGCCTTTAAGTACGGAGTCCAAGTCGCGACCCGTACCATACTTTAAACGTGAGGTGGCTCATCAACAGTCTCCATTTTACCTTATGTATACCGCATTAGAAGTTAGTACTTGGATAGGACATTCAATGGCTCATTGTGCAGAAATGGGAATAACCGTACCATTGGAAGTATCGACCCCTGATTTGAATTCACGGATCCGGAGCCACGGCACTTTCTGGCGTTGAGTGAGCAGTGAGCTGAAATACGCCAACCCCCTTCCCACGACCTGCTTCGCCTTCATCAAATTTCCCCAAAATGTCATCGTCGAGGGGAGAGATACTTTAGATTAACCACCAGAAATAGGGGATTTGCGGTGGTGATTGAAGGGGAGGGGCGAGTGAAACAGGATAAACCAACGACCACAAGAACTTTCCCAGGTAAGGTATAGCCCCTCTCTGTGGCGATCAAATACGACCCCGCCCTGCATCAGGGATTCGCTGCGAACGACATGTCGTGCCCAGGGCTCTTCTAGCCTCAAGCGTTTGACGAAACCCGATCTTGCCAGGAATCATAGTTCTGCACGCCCCACAGGGAGTCCTTCAAGTTTTCCTCCGCCCTCATCCTCGAGCTTATTAGTGCCCACGAGACTAATTAAATACTCAACCAAGGTAAGGAAAGAGAGTGTTTTAGGGAGTAGAACATGGGCTGGCCTCCTTTTTGTTGCGATCTTTAGTACATAGCATGGTTCAACAGCGAAGCTTGGCCAGTAGCACCTTCATTTTGACCTTGGGTTTTCTTTTGCGATGACGGTTGAAACATATTTCTTCACGTTTTTCATCTGTTTTTTTTTCATGAATTATGTTATCGTTTTCAATCTTCGTGCTCAGATACACGTACCATTACACTGCCTGCGATGACTTTGTTTCCAACGTTATTCTCCTAGGGAACCCAACAAGCCCATTTCCTTCGGCATGAAGGATACACTTCTGCAATAGGAGCTTACCTCAATGGAGCATCACTTGTGGATCCGAACGATGCGGAATTTGGAGCCGGATGTGAGTAAAGTTATATGGGTATAATCGTTGTTTTGATATTGAAGTGGCTGCCTTGTAGATGAGGCAGAGCGTTTGTCATGGCACGAATATTACTCTGGCTGCTCAGAACTCGGAAGATTCGTGCCAACTGCTCCTTTGTCTATGGGTTTCACGGTGAGTTATAATAATCGTTTTCACTGAACTCTCAAATAAAAAATTTCGTGTTGTAGGCTGGTGTGCTTGAGCTTGAGTGTGCAGAGATTATTCTCCGACCATTTCCTCTGTTAGCAGAGAATCTTCAGGTATATACTCTAGCCCACAGTTTTCTCTCCTTTTGTTTCCGTTAACGGGGGAAGTCGGTCCTGGGCGTTTCCTCTTATCGCTGAATTCTGCTGCTCTTTCTGTTCCTGTGCAGGAGTCGCTGATGAGAGCAGAAATAAACTACCCGCCGTTTCTGACTGCTTTTTTTGAAGAAATTTTGTATTCCAACGCAGTGATTCGTGTTTGAGGTCTATAAGCCCGACGTCGCCGACCTGAACTTGGACAGTGAGGCGAGGGAGTTCTGGCTACGCACCTTCGAAAAGAGCGTGGACAGTGTGAGTTATTGACAAAGTTGTTCTTACCACAAGAAAATAAGTGCATTGTATATTGTTGTTGTTTGTTTTCAGGTGATGAAAAAGGCTATTGAGTCACAGGAGAAAAGTGAGACGGCCGCTCTCCGAGTAAAAGTCTTTCGCGAAAAGTTCCTCAAACAGTTAATGCTAATACGAGAGAAACCATTGTTAGTTAATTTTTTACTCGAACTTCTTAGAATGGCACAAAGTGCTTTTATAGACTTATTCGCTACGGATATAGGGTGGAAGGCTGGCTTTCGCGCTACGCCGGATCTACTAGTGCTGGGAATGGGACTGGCGCCGCGCCAAACTCAGCCCCACACGTCTCAGCGTCCGCAGAGAAAAGGACTGTACCTGCTAGGTGGATCCCTTGCATGAAGTTCGCAGGTCTACAGCTGACTAGGGTGTGCCGCTTTCATCACGTGTAAAGTCGCTAGTAGCTTGCGATTTTGGGTGCTCTCAATCTCTAAGGCAGCGTTCATACTTCGCGACAGCAGCGGCGATCGCGGCGACCTCGGCGATCGCCGCGATCGTCGGTACGTGGCAGAGCGCGCCCCAACGCTATTATGGACTGCTCGCTTGATAAATAAGGAAATCCAACTTGTGAGACCTTCTTTTCTCTTAATAATGGCTACTAACTGATAACTTACGACTTTCTATACATAAGCGGATCTGGAATATGAGGTAAGGAGGTTTCACTTCTTTTTAGGTCGGGATGAGGCCAACTCCATTTCCTGGGTGAGCTTCTTTTTGTTTCTTTTGTTTTTATTGTTTCAATTTATGCAAGCGCCTTAAAAGTTCCTATCTGAACTGTTCCAACTTCCAAAACATTTATAGTTTACAAGTCGAGTTCAAACAACGAAGAAAAAAAGAAACAGAAAGAAACTCACCTAGGAACCAAAACACTAATCATTTTACGCAACATCAACAGGTGAAAACTTTATAACCTCATGTATAAGCTCGACGAATGAAAAAAGAAACAATAAAAAGCTGCCTTGCTCATTTCTATCCTAAATCAAGAAAGAAAATAGAAAACAAAAGCCATTAAGTTGGGTTCACCTTTCTTGTGTCAAACCAAGCTTCAGTACCTAAGAAAATTGCAGTTAAAGGAAAAAAAGCATGAAATTGAGTCGCTTCTTCCCAAAAGCCTTCGGAGCGCAAGTAATAGCGTTGGGGCGCGCTCTGCCATGTACCGACGATCGCGGCGATCGCCGAGGTCGCCGCGATCGCCGCTGCTGTCGCGAAGTATGAACGCTGCCTAAGCAAGAAGTTCCGGTTCACTTCAAAATTGTAATTGGCTTCTCTATGCAGGAAATAATGGAAATCGGAATTGTGAAAGTGATTTAATAGGGCAAAAGAGCTAACTATCGCTATGCAATCAGCAGGCAGGAACTCATTTGAACCCGTACTCTGCCATATGGTCCATTCAGTGCTTGCTGGAGCTGGATTTGACCCGTGGATCGCGTGCGTGGCAAGCGGCTCCACCAGCCACTCCACCACCACTGCCTCTCGAATATGTTAATTATTCTGTTTCTCTTCGAAGACGTCTACACTACAACATTTAGTGCCTACGGGAATTCGAATGTCAGAAATCTGCTCGATCTCAGGGAGCAATTACTCAATGAGCAGAACTTCGATGATTCATACCTGAACGTGAATTTTCAAATTTGTTTGTTTTCATTCGGAAATCTTAAGAGATTGTTCATAACACGGGATATTCTGTTTTCAGCAGAAGACTTTGGAAAATGCAGTTGCCATGAAAGAGCTACCGTCCTTGTTGAAGTCAATCGATGAGGTGTTATTAAGGATACTATTCCTTACTTTTTTTCAATATTAGGTGTTTTTATGCGAATCAGTATAGGTTGACGGCAACGATGAGCGGCTACATCGTGTCGCTTTAGGTCTACTTGCTGGCAATGTGTTCGATTGGGGTGCTCAGAAGGTTTGTTGTACCAAGATTTACTCCTAGAACCGTTTTAAGGTTACATTTGTTCCTTAGTCGGTACTCAAGTTACTTGATTTAGGTGATAGAAATGATGGAATCATCAGAGGGTCTTTCATTTTCTACTGCTGTCTCGTCAATACCAGGTGCTGAGCTTTATCAATAACCTTTTTAACAGCTTTAGTACTGAATATTTCTCCAGTGTTCCCTTTCAGAGAGACCATGGCTGATCGATTCCTATGATGAATTTCAATCTTCACTCAAAGCGAAACAGTACAATTGTGCTGCAATCTTTGTTGACAACAGCGGTGCAGACTTCATTCTGGGCGTAATTCCATTTGCACGGGAGTTACTGAGGCGTGGTATTCGGGTGAGTATTTTTTGGATTCAACAACACTTCTTCTTGGATGGTCTCCTTTCAGGTCATAATTGTATCTAATTTGTCACCAGCGCTCAACGACTTGACATACCCGGAGATGATGGAGATGGTACCGCTTTTACGCGAGGTGGATAATACTCTGAAAGAGGCCATAGACAGTGGAAGGCTGACTTTTGAACACAGTGGACAAAGCTCCCCTTGTTTGGATCTGAGGTGCGTTGTGCTGATGTTGATCGATACGTCTCTCCATTTTTCCCTTCACAGCCTACCATTTTTGAAGCTGTGAAAGAAACGGAGAGTTACGAGCTTATTCCCCCGAATCCCGCCTGTTAAGTTAGCAGAAGTAACGGCTCAAATGTAAATTTCTGATGAAAAGATATCAAATAACGCAGAAGTGAAGAAAAAATCCAAAAAAAACCCGTCCGAAGTGCCCCATATAAAACCATCCTGTGTCCTGTAGATA